CCACCACTGAATTACACTCTCAGCCCTTTTTATTTTTAATTTTGAGACAGGGTTGTGCTAAGTTGCCAAGGCTGCCCTTGAACTTGTGATCCTCCTGCCTCAGCCTTCTGAGTTGCTGGGATTGTAGGCATGTGCCACTGTGCCTGATGGCAAGTACTTTCATGTTTTCAGGTCTGTGTTAAAAATGGGTCAGAGGGGCTGGGGATGTGGCTCAAGCGGTAACGCACTTGCTTGGCATGCGTGAGGCACTGGGTTCAATCCTCAGCACCACATAAAAATAAAATAAAGATGTTGTGTCCACCGAAAACTGAAAAATAAATATTAAAAAAATTAAAAAAAATGGGTCAGACTGCTGGCAGCTGGAAGTTTGCTGCCAGCATCAGACCTCTATACTCATGGAGGGACTTGGGGATCCATTTTTGGGATGCTCTGGAATCCTTTGGGATATATATATAATGTACCATTTGGAGAATAACTGTGTAGCGGATACCCTGTCTTTTGCTGCTGCACAGAGTTGGGAGTAGTGTACTTGGTCAGGCTGTAATAATGCTAAGCAGCTTCTTTCCAGTTCTCTCACTTTCTAACTCAGTAATTGAAGAGGTGGAGTATCATGGTGGTCCCTGGGGAGTGATAGGATCCAGATGCCTTCATTCTTTAATTAGAAAGGTTTTTTCTAATTGGGTTTCCTGACCCTGGTTATCGGTATGGGTAAGAATAACCCTGAATTCCTGAGAAAGGTGAAGCAGGTTAGGACAGAGGAAATGGAAGCTTTGAGTATGGTAAAGGAAGCAAAACCACTGAAGGCACTGGAAGTGAGGAAATTGGGTCAGGTGTGAAAGTGTCTGCTCATCTGTGTCACTTTGGCCATGAGCCGCAGGAGAGTATCTGGGCCCTACTTGTGGATCCAATATGGCTTCTGAGCTAGACATAGCAGGGTAGAGACACTCAAGGCAGAACTGGCTTTCCATGCACAGAGCTGACCAGTTCTACCTATGTGCAAACCATTGAGAGTTTTCTGGCACCTCTGAAGGTGGGGGCTTTTCTAGGAGTGATTCTCTGATTTATGTAATACTTCTAGTCAGGGTTGAGGGAGCTCCCCTCCCTTTTCCAGAACCCCATCTCATCTTTCAGGTTCTTCTAACTTAACCCAGGGAAAAAGCTCCTTCCTTGGTCCCTCCTGGGTTGAGGTGGGCTTGTGCTACCTTCTGTAGGTGGATATTGTTGTCTGTTTTTGTTTTGTTCTTTTCTTTTTCACTGTTACCCTCTTTTTCTTGTATCCACTCTCCCTTCACATTCAGGTTCTCAAACAGAGCCTGAACAAGACAATAGCCTCCCACTTTCCTGACACCATTCTAGGAATGTAGCAGGAACTTTCAAAGTGTTTCCACTGCCTTAAACTGGCATTCAGGGTTCTTCACAACCAGCCCTTAATTCCCTCTCCACCTACCTCTCTCTGCTTCTCTGGCAAGTCTCTTATTTTCGGCAAGTTGATTGATTAATTTCACCCCAAAATCTTGTCTTCTCTGCCTTTACCTTCTTTATTGTTTGATTAAAAACATCCCATGTCAAGATCTAGCTTGTTTCACCTCCTCCACAAAGCTACCCATGGCCTCTCTAAACACAGGCCTTTTTTCCTTTTTTCTTCCACCCCGATTCCTTTAGCTCTATTAGCATAGTTCAGTCAACACCTTCCACACTTCCCTTGTATTGTTATCTTTCTTGTTGATTAATATTTAAAAAAAATTTTACAATAAAAGTAATTTATATTATAAAAGATCCAAATAATAGTGCTGGGTGGGATAAAGCCTGTAATCTCAGCTACGTTGGAGCCTGAGGCAGGAGGTTCACAAATTTGAGGCCAACTGGGCAATTTAGCAAGATCCTGTCTCAAAACAAAAAGTGTTGGGGATATGACTCGGGTAGAGTGCTTGTCTAACATTCATGTTGCCCTAGGTTCAATTCCCAGTACTTTCAAACAAACAAAACATAAATATATAGAGTAATGTGGAATTTGATGTCTATTCTTCCTATTCCTATCTTCTAACCTAACCACCCTCAGTTATGCTCCTAGCACCTTTAGAAAAAGATTTTTATAGATGTTGATGGACTTTTATTTTATTCATTTATTTATATGCAGTGCTGAGAATCAAACCCAGTGCCTCACACATGCTAGGCAAGTGCTCTACCACTGAGCCTCAACCCTGATCCCCCTCTCATTACTTTTAAAAAAATATATATAATCAACACATTTTAGTTAAAATATGAATTCATTTATGTCACGTGTACTATACCTGCTTTTTTATTTAAGGGTATATACATTTGGCTTAGAAGTTTTACATACTAGTGTAGTTAGATCTTTATTTTTGATAGTTTCTCCTTATTTCATTGTGTAATTTTTCAAAATAAAACACTTGTGCAGGGTGTGGTGGTACACACATCTGCAATCCCAAGTGACTCAGAAGACTAAGTTAGGAAGATCACAAGTTGGAATCCAGACTCAGCAACTTAGAGAGACCCTGTGTCCAAAAAAAAAACTGGAGAGGTAGCTCAATCCATAGTACCAAAGGAGGAAAAAAACCACATTTGTCTAGAATCTGTTATTTGGAGATTATTGTTCAGCTGGTACCTTGGGAGATCTAGGAATGATCACAGCCTGTCCTTGGTATCAGTGAGCTGGCTATTGGGGGATATGAGACTGGAGGAGAGGGGCATGCAGAAATAGCTGCAACCCAAGGGAAAATATAAAAATGTCCCTAAGTATATGCCTGAAGTTCAAAAATAGGGAAAGTCACTGTTAACTAAGAGAATCAGAGCTTCACTGAGGAGATACTTGAATTTAACCTGGAGGAAACTTGACAGGTAAAGAGAGGAGCATGAACTAGGACATAGAGATGGAAACACATGGTATAGGTTCCTCTGATGGCCAGATCACAGTCCAGAAGCAGGAAGAGGTTTTGGTCCAGTTCATAAACATTTGTATGTCAGACACAAGCAATGAGGATATAGAAAAGAGAAACATGAGGTTCTGTTTCTAAAAGGCTTTCAGTTTAATAGGCTAAAAGACCAGTTGAGAAAAGTAAATAAGTGCTAGAGTACAAAAGCTTTTAATTGGCATGTCAAGGAGTCAGAATTTTATTCACTGGGCAATGTGGAGCCATGGTAGGTTTTTGGTGGGCAACTGACATGACAAACTAAATAGTAAAAATGTACAGAATGATCTCAAGTAGGAGAGGTTGGGAATGAGGTTTATTCCTCTTTTAAATAAAAAAGTAAAATCTCAATTTAAAGATGTTTGGTGGTTTGGGGATGTGATTCAATAGTAGAGTATTTAACCTAACATGGGGGAGACCCTGGGTTCAATCTCCAGTGATCCCTAAGGGATGGTTGGAGGAAGGCATCTGATGGTAGGCAATCCAGGGGCTGATGTGGTGGCTCTTCAGTTTTTAGGCTTTTATCTTTTTTTTTTTCACCATGCTAGGACATAGCCTTCATCCTTATAATCACCTCATGGTCTAATATAGCTACCAGAGCATAATTAATCTTATCTATCTTCCAGGTAGCAGAAGGAAGGAAGGCAAGACCTTGTGGGGAGGGAGAGGAACACAATGATACATTTCCTAGCTAACTCCCTTTGAAGAACTTTCTTGGAAGTCCAAGACAATACTTACTTTCTTTTCTTTTTCTTTTTTTGGTACTGGGCCAAGACAATACTTTCAACACTTCTGTTTCTTATTAGACATAAACTAGGTGACCAATAAGTCCTCTAGGTTTTGTTGTTGTTGTTGTTGTTGTTGTTTGTTTGTTTGTTTGTTTTTGCAGTGCAGGGGTTTGAGTCCTGGGGCACTAAGCTACATCTCAGCACTTTATTTTTTTGGTAAGAGGGATTGAACTCAGATGCACTAAACCACCAAGCTACATCCCCAGCCCTTTTTTGTATTTTATTTAGAGACAGTGTCTCCCTGAGTTCCTTAACACTTCACTTTTGCTGAAGCTGGCTTTGAACTTGCAATCCTGCCTCAGCCTCCTAGGCCACTGGGATTATAGGCGTGTGCCACCTTGCCTGGCCTCTTTTTATTTTTTGAGACAGGGACTTACTACTAAGTTGTCTAGGCTGGCTTTGAATTTGTGATCCTCTTGCTTCAGCCTCCCTAGTACCTGGGATTATAGGTGTGCCCCACTATGTCTGTGACCATATGCAGCTTTAAGGGAGACATAGAAATATATTTTTATGGGGATATATTCAGTATTTAGAATTTTGCGATATAATTTGCATAAAGTGAGATTCCAAGATTGTAAACATAGAGTTTAAGATTTGACAAGTGCTTGCATCCAACTCATGTCCCTCTCACGTTATGGAGCATTCATCACTCCAGAAATTCCCTCCTGCTGGTGTGTGTGTGTGTTTTCTTTAACAACCCCATAGAGTGGCTGGGGCTGGGGGGGAGTGCGCAGAAAAAATGAGGTCTTAATGGGAATGAAAAAAAGAGCTGGAGAGACTGGAGGGAGAAGCCAAAGGAGACTGGTTGAATGTAGACAAAGAATAATCAGAGAATGCTGATAGCAAAGCCCCCAACAAAAAGAGGAGATTGGGAGAATAAGACCAGGTTGTTGCAGGTGGGATGGAAGGAGGAAGAATGAGTACTTGTTGGGTGTGTTGAGTCTGAAGTGCTGGCAAAACATCTAGGTGGAGATGCCTAGTAGGTAGTTGTGTCTAGGGCTTGCAAGGGCAGTCAAAGCTCAGTTGCCCCAAATACCAGAGAGATGATGCTAAAGACAACAGGCCAAGAAATGGCCCAAGAGTTTGGTAAATGTGAGCTCCCTGATAGCCTCTGAGCGAGCAGAATCCAGGTGCCAAAGGCTGAGTAAATTATGCAAATGGTACTGGTAGGATGGCTGAAATCATTTGAAACCCTCTTTAAAGACTGAAATTCTTGCATAAACAAAAGGTTTGTATGTGCTGCTCTTTTAAAAAGGTTGTTAATGAAAGCAGAAAAATGGTAATGCCAGAGGAAAATATCAGGGATTCATCCCATTCTTACAGGAAAATAGTTCCTTGTGCTTTCCAGTTAGCTTTCCAAGAGCAAAAGGATAGGACAGTGCTCTGCTTCAGAGAGTGGAGCTGAAGGTATAGAGATGGGAGAGGGATGCCACCTTTGACAACTGTTGGTGTGGCAGCAATTCCTCCTGTGGGACAGAACGGCTAACGGACAGATGGGTCAGAATGCGAATTCCCTATCTCAGAGAGTAGGGAGGGCTCCCTGCGGCCTCCTCCCTCCAGGAGGTGGGGACAAGGTGGAGCAAGGATTGCGAGAGGAGGAGCTCCCTCATCACCACAAGCCCGGTCGCGTCCAGTCTCGCCTGGGCGCCGAGGAAAAGCTCTCCTAATCGCCGCCACTAGAGTAGCCTGTCCTGGTGCCCCAGTGCCCTGCCCCCATCCAGTCATGACCCTGCGCCCCTTATTCCTGCCCCTCCATCTCCTGCTGCTGCTGCTGCTCAGGGGGGCGATGTGCCGGGCTGAGGCTGGGTTCGAAACCGAAAGTCCCGTCCGGACCCTCCAAGTGGAGACTTTGGTGAGGAGATGGGCCAGAACCTGTGGGGGAACTCCAGGATCTAAACGAACCTGGGAGTGGGGAAGAGAAGAAGTGTGGGAACTGAGTTGGATGGTGCTGGGTCTAGGGGAGAGAACTAGATCTTTGGAGGAGCTTCCGTGACCCTTGTAGTCCGATCGTAGGTGGAGCCCCCCGAACCGTGTGCGGAACCCGCTGCTTTTGGAGACACGCTCCACATACATTACACGGTGAGGGGCACAAGGGGTTGGGGCGGGGCTTAGGAGGGGCGGGGCATTGCTGAAACACGTCAGCTTTGGCTTGGACACGTGGCAAGCGGTTTGGAAGGAAAAATTCAGGCTCTGGGGTCGTAGAGCACGTGGCGGGGGGAGGGGCGCCCCTCTTTCCTGCCTATTTCCCCTTGGTGCTTTTCCTCCAATTCCTCCTTGGCACTGAGAAACGTAGGGTGGAGAGGTCTCTAGTAAGTGCCAGCCCTTTGGGACTTCCTGTTCCTTTTTGCCCTGGGGGGGATAAACTGCAGCAGTAAGGGGGTTGCCGCCACCTTGCGGTCCAGGTGTGTGTTGCCGCCTCCTTAAGAGGTACTAGGTATGTGCTCTTGACGCTCTCTCCCAACCAGGGTACCTTGATAGATGGACGCATTATTGACACCTCTCTGACCAGAGATCCTCTGGTTATAGAACTTGGCCAAAAGCAGGTGATTCCAGGTATGTGACCTGTGCCTCTCATTTCACCTCTTCCCAACCTATGCCCTTACTTGGCCTCTTCAACCCCTAAGTTGCCCAGGAAAGGCCTCCTGGAATAAGACCCCAGGGCTCTTCCAGTTACTTCCTAAGATTTAAGCCTCACTTCTAATACTTCTCTTGCCCCATACCCCATTGGAAACCAGGAATTTGAGAAGTGGGGAAGACTAAATTGAGAGTTAAGTGTGAACCTCTGATCTTTCTCTTGGGTGATTTGGTAAATGTGAGTAGCTTCCAGTAAGTTATGTCTTCTTCCTCAAGGTCTGGAGCAGAGCCTTCTAGACATGTGTGTAGGGTGAGTATCTGGGAAGAGGGTATAGGAGGGTGGGTATCCCCTTTCCCTGGGTAGAGGTTTTCTCTGCCATCCTGCTCCTGCAGGAGTCAGTAGAATGTGGGATAAAGGACTGTGGCTTCACATTGGACAGGTCCACGTCAGTAGGCCTTCTGAGGGCGTCTAAAACCCGTGCCCCTCTGGTTTTGTTGGAGGAGTTGGGGTTGTGGGGAGATGGACACTTTTGCTGTTAGGCACACAGGTGGGAAAGTTCATGTTTTGGGTATAAATATACAAGGGGTTTTGCTGACTGAGGGTACTGGCCCACCTTCCCACCTCTGGCTGTGACTTACATTCCTTCCCTCAGAGAGAAGCGAAGGGCAATCATCCCTTCTCACTTGGCCTATGGAAAACGGGGATTTCCACCATCTGTCCCAGGTAATCTGACTAGGTCTTTCTCTCAGGCCATCAAAAAACCAGTCCCTACAAGGAATAATTTTTTTTTTTTTTTTGTCTGGAGCTTGAGAAGGTCCAGATCAGGTTTGCTGAAAGGGACAGGAGTGTCTGGGGCCTCCTTCTGCAGAGCCACTTTTTTTTTTTTCCTGCTCAGGTCACCAATAGAGACTACAAACATCACCTGTTAAGGCTACCTCTGGCAGCTGGCATATTTTTAGGGAAGAGATACCTGCTTGACCTACATGGGTCTGCTGCTTATATTACTACTTTCAGAATAGTCAAGGAACTAAAAAAAAGCAATCTTTAAAAGCCAAGTCTACCCCATAACTTGGAAAACTCTTATAAATCATTATTGTATCTATTTTTTTTAATTTAGTTATGTATGGACTTAATGCATTTATTTGTTTTTATGTGGTGCTAGGATTGAACCCAGTGCCTCACACTCAGCTACAACTGAGTTGAGGCTCCCATTGAGCCACAATTACACCCCTATTATATCTATTTTTAAAAGGCTAATACTGGACAGATTTCCCAAAAGATATATCTTTTGCTTTTCGTTATAACAAATGTTCTATTAGCTAAAATGTGTTTTATTCCACAGAGCATTGAGAACATAATTCCTATCCTAGTCCCAGCTAGAGGAAGGTCTGGAAAGAGGGTAGGGGGACTAGAGAGAAACTATTTTAGCCAATGTTCTATTACTTCCCAATTCACAGTACTGCTTATTTGCTTCTTTGTATACCTCTCCCTTCCCATTCACTCCTCTTCCACCTGCCCCTATTTGTTTGTTTATGGTACTGGGGATGGAATCCAGGGCCACTCTATCACTGGGCTATACCCATACCCCCAGCCTTTTTTATTTTTTGAGACAGGGTCTCATGAAGTTGCCCAGGCTGGCCCTAACTTGTGATCCTCCTGCCTCAGCTTCTTGTGTACAGGTGTGCACTACCACATCTAGCTAAACTATTGTTTTTCTTTTCCTTTCTTTCTTTTCTTTTCTTTTGTAAGTTTTCTTTCTTTTTTTTTTTTTTTTTTTAGTTGTTGATGGACCTTTATTTATATGTGGTGCTGATAACCAAACCCAGTGCCTCACACATGCTAGGCAAGCGCTATACCACTGAGCTATAGCCCCAGCCCCAAACTACTGTTTTTCTAATAATCACATTGAATGTGCTCATTGGTTGGTGGAATTTTAAAGTTATCTACTTTAAATCCAGTTAATTTCAGCTCTGCAATGATTCTGTCCATATGGCTCTTTGGAAAATGGGTATAGGTAGTATAGAGGGTTCTTTTATAAATGGAGAACAGCCTATGTATTTCATATTCATAATTTTCCTGTGCTGTCAAAGACCTCACTGAACCCAAGCCATACATGTAGTTGGGGTCAATATGACTATTACTAGACTCTGCTTATAACCCTCCTCTGCCTTTGTCTAAGGGAACTCAACCCCACATTTAAGTCTTGCCAGCTTCATAGTTGGCTTTGCTATAGCCAGCCCTTCCTGTTTTCATTCATATTCAAAGCCCCAGATAAAATGCACAAGAGATTCTAATCCTCACCTCCCCTCTGCCTCTCCAGCGGATGCAGTGTTGCAGTATGACGTGGAGCTGATTGCACTGATCCGAGCCAACTACTGGCAAAAGCTGGTGAAGGGCATTTTGCCTCTGGTAGGCATGGCCATGGTGCCAGGCCTCCTGTGTCTCATTGGGTTTCACCTATATAAAAAGGCCAACACACCCAAAGTCTCCAAAAAGAAGCTCAAGGAAGAAAAACGAAACAAGAGTAAAAAGAAATAAATGATAGTACTTTTTAAAGAGCTTTGTATTCTTCACCTGATACTTTCTGAAGCTGCTTTTTGTAAGTGGGAATGAGGTGAAGGGCTGAGAAAAAAAGGCATTCTGGGGTTGGATCTTGCCTGGCAAGGGAGGGTGGTTGGAAGCCTTAGGTCACCTCTTCCCCTGACCACCACTTGCTGTCCTAATATACCCCAAAGATCTGCCCATAGGATCTGCCCACTTGGCCTCTAGGTCCTTAAGGTTTTGGTATGAGCTCCCATGGTACCACAACACCAAAGAGCTGTGCTTCACTGCGTCATTGCCTTCCTATTTTCTCTGCTCCCCAGGATGGCAGTATTCCTAGTGTCTTCAAAGTGAACTGCTCTGTCCAAGACAGCAAAAATATAAGGAGTTCATAAACTCCATGGAAGTTTTTAATAGCAAAGCACTTGGGTCTCAAAAAAAAAATTTTTTTTTTCTTTGAAGTTGGAAAGACGTGTCCTCCCTTGGATCACAGGGTGTGGGAGATGATGTGGGCTGCTTCAATGATATTATAAGTAGTTGGAGGTGGTTTGTCACCTGACTGAGCAGTAGATGTGGACAAGGGTTGGGATAAGTTGCTTTGATGGTTGACTATGAAGAGTGGGTTAAACTTGCTCAACACTTCATCACTCACGGAGATGCCATCCAAGTACTGCTTGAGCATCTCCCGAAGCTTCCCATTAATTTCCAGCAGCTGGGCTCGTCTGTGTTGGAGGCTCAGTTGCTCCAGTTTCACCTTGTTGTACCTTTTCCAGAAATTCTCCATCCCTACGTAGTCAGCCATCACCTGGTAATTGAGTTAGAGAGGAAAAGTGTACTTCAGGACCCAGTAGCAAATGCTATCCCAAAGCCTATCCTCTCCCAGCCCTTACCTTCACAAGTTCCATAGTAAGCTCTTCAGGATTTTGTTCCTCATTCTCCTCCTGCATATTAGCTGTCAATACTGATGAATAAAAAGGCAGCACTTTCTCTTCCTCTGTTTCATATTTTCTACATATTTCAGCAAGTTTAAGGATCTTTTCACCCTGTTGGAAGCAGGAACAGACTTCATTAGGAAAGGGCTAAGAGGGAAATAGTGGAGTTAGTTCCCTGCATGAAACAACTCCAGGGGAACTTCTTATTAAAATGAGAGACAATAGTAATAAATACATCTAACACCTAGTGCTTACCATGTGCCAAGCACTGGTCTAAGTATTTCATATTTTTATTAAATTAAGCTGTTATTATTTAACTTAAAGTGTATGAGGGGAGGAGAGAGAATAATGAAGATATTCCTAGTGTTCACTTAAGCTTAGGAAGCACGAGGAAACCCTCCTCTACTTCTTTTTTTTTAAACATTTTTTTTAATATTTATTTTTTTTTAGTTTTCGGCGGACACAACAGCTTTGTTTGTATGTGGTACTGAGGATTGAACCCGGGCCGCACGCATGCCAGAAGAGCGTGCTACCACTTGAGCCACATCCCCAGCCCAAAGATCTAGATTGTTTTTTTTTTGTTTGTTTGTTTTTAATATTTATTTTTTAGTTTTCGGCAGACACAACATCTTTGTTTGTATGTGGTGCTGAGGATCGAACCCGGGCCGCATGCATGCCAGGCGAGCACGCTACCACTTGAGCCACATCCCCAGCCCCCTCCTCTACTTCAAAGTTCCTTTCACCTCAAGCAGTTTATTTGCCTTTGTTCTGACTGTCCTCTCCCCTTTATTACCTTATCAACGATCTTTTTCAAGGCCTTGAGGGTGGCATTACTTTCCAGGGTGAGCTTGACTAAGTTCTCCTGGGATACCTCTCGGGCCTGCATCCTTTGAGACTTAAGTTTTCGCAGTTGTATAAGGACCAACTCCTTGTCATTACGGATATACTGGTTCTGATCTTCACTCTCACGACTATGCAGCATGATTTTGCCTTTTGAAATAGTTATGGCCTCCTGGACAGACAGAGTAGACAGAGGAAACACTTGACCAGAGGAGGGTCTTTATTGACACAGGAAAAGGGCAGCCTGGGAACTGAAATCAGAGTATATCATCTTTTCTCACCCAGTGGAGTAATGAGACCCAGTGGGAACTGGGGAAAGGGGAATAATGGAGTAGTGTAAGTAGCATTTTTGGATGGTGATACTACCTGTAGTTTCTGTATTTTTTTCATTTGTGCTTCAATTTCTTTGGAGCTCTTCTCGTCCTTCACCTTTAAGGTTTCAAAGGCAATTTTCCGGTCCTCTGTGGCATCAGTATAATTCTTGAGTGCTTCTTGGAACCTTCTCCACAGATCTTCTACTACATTCTCTAGTTGTATTCGTAGAAAGTGCTTCTCTTCTAAGTTCTAGGAAGTTCCCCCCCCCCAAATACCCAATGTTTAAAATTATGCTACTAATGCCCTTTATTTCCACCAGAAACCTCATGTTTTGAACTGTTAATAGTATTAATCAGTGCAGCAATCACCAATCAAAATGCCCATAAAGACCAGGAAGATAATATAAGAAAGTATTGTGGGCTGAGTGGTCCTGTAGTGAACTTGAGCTCCTACAACTCCACATGAATGCTGCCATTTGGAAACATGGCCCAGTGTTGCCACTAGATCTTTAAATTTTTCAAGGGAAGTCGAAAATTTAGATTTTTATGTGAAATATTTTCAATTTCTAAATATAGAAAATGTATTCAAAGTTTTTGTAAAACATTGACATAACATGAAAACAAGAACCCCACCAGGCATAGTGGCACATGCCTCTAATCCCAGCAACTTGGGAGGCTGAGGCAGGAGGATTTTAAGTTCCATGCCAACCTCAGCAACTTAGCAAGACCCTGTCTCAATAAAAAGAGTTGGGGATATAACTCAGTGGTAAAGTGCTCCTGATTTCAATTCCCAGTACCAAAATAAAAATAAAAGCAAAAAAGCAAAACAAAAAAACCCCTATATCTAAACCTAGGTCTGTGGAGTAGTTAAGTTTGTAATCTCCAATATGGTAGAAAGCATTTTGGGCTAAGTGGCAGGAGACCTAGATTAATTCTTCTGGCTCTACCACATCTGTAGTTCAGAGGAAGCCAGATGATCTCCTTGTTGCTTTTTAAGCTCCAAAATGCATTTTAGAATGATCTTCCTTCCTGACCAGTTTTTACAAAATTACAAAAAGCAGTTGAATCAACTACAGTGGCACACCCTTTTATTGACTGTTGGTTACAGGGCTCTCTTCTGTCTCTAGTAGCTTGAACAGTTTTTCTCTTACTTCTCTCCCAGTTCCTGTCCCTTTAATCCCCTTCTATACCTTGTTTTTGAGATCATCCCACATGCTTTGGAACTCCAACTTGCTTTCATACTCAGAATCTATATAGTTCTGCTCCATGGCCATGAAGACATCTTGTAGATAGTGAATCTCTTTCTCATGTTGGTCAATAATTGTCTTCCTATAGGAGACAAGATATTGTCCTTGCTGTAATGGATACAGCATATGGACCAATAATGACAATTTAAAGCAGTAGTAATAAAACTGTATGAATGGTACAAACTCTTTGATACTGACAGAGAACAGAGAGAGGGTGGGCTCTACATTTTTATGGCCAGAGAGAATAAGATTATTTTATTTTGATTTTTGAATAGGCAATACATTAATACAAATATAAATATAAGTGAAGTCTCCCTCCCAAATCTGTCTGCTCTGAGATGGGTAGGATTCTGATATTTGAAAGTGGATGGTAAGGGCATTTTGATGCCAGGTGGTGGTGTGTGTGTGTGTGTGTGTGTGTGTGTGTGTAGGGATATGGGGCGTGGGGGAAGGGGTAAAGGAAAGCAAAGGCTGTAAGGTGAACCTGAATTTGTTTAGAACAAACTCAGAATGTTCTCTGTTGTGGGTCATGTCATAATAAAAGTGGAATGCTTCCAGGTACTGGCCACCTGCTTACAAGCAGCTCCTTCACACAGAACAGTCACTCCCCTGGATTCAGTCCCCTATCTTCTCTTGGGACCCATACCTTTCTGTCTCAAACTCCTTGGTTAGGACCTCCAGCTCATTGTTGTAATTTTCCTCCAGGAGGTGGAGCCGGCGCCTCTGCAGGTCCAAGAGCTGGTCAATGTTGTGCAAGTGGCTGCGTAGGGCATGGGCATACTGCTCCTCAGCTTCTGATAGGTCCTTAGCTAAAGACTGGACAGGAAAACAGAGTTACCATTCTGGTCAAATGGCATCTGTGTGAGAAAATAAAAATGTATTCAGCTGGCTAGCTGGATGACATGATGGCATTTTTTCCCTCAGTTTCTAATGCCAAGACTTTGGCTTTGTAAGTACTGGTTCACTCACTTTTTTTTTTTTTTAATGGTACCAAGAATTGAACCCAGGGGAATTTAACCACCAAACCACATCCCCAGTCCCCCTTTTTTATGTTTTATTTTGAGTCTGGGTCTTGCTAAGTTGCTTAGGGCCTACGTTGCTGAGGCTGGCTTTGAATGCACTATGTTCCTGCCTCAGCCTCCCGAGCCACTGGGATTATAGGTGTATGCCACCATGCCTGGCACCTACTCACTCTTGAATGTAAAGCAAGGATGATGTCAGGGATCCCCAATATCCTGTGGACAACAAATATTTACAATGATGGGGCCACCACTACATGGAATCAGGGTTTTTGGAGAAATGATCACTTGGAAGTTTTATGCAGAAAATAAGTTGAACCTAGGGTATCTTATCACAAAAGATCATTAAGAAGCTATCAACAGCCAATATAGTCATGTCATAAGGTCTCAGGAACCATTATGAAATATATATAGTAGATTATATTTTACAAACATAAGCACAGCAGTATCTCCCATCTGATAATTTCCTGTAACATGATCTTGCCAATCCATTTCTGTAATATGACCTTGCCAGCAAAAAGTAGACTCTTTTTCCATCATCTTGAATTTGGGAAGACTCTGACTCCCTGGATCAATAGAATATGGTGGAAGTGACCCTGTGCCAGTTCCAAGCATAGCCCTTTATGTGTCCTGGCAACTTCTGCTTCCTTCCCTTTGGGATGCTCCCTTTAGGAACCTAGCTGTCGTGCTGTGAGAAGCCCAATTTACACAGGGGTCACAGGAAAGTTATATAGCAATAGATAACTGGTTGAACTCCTCTGACAGCCAGAATCAAGAGCCAGCCATCTAGGACATCTAGCCATCAGGCCTAGTTGAATACAGCACCAGCTGACATCTGACTGAAAACTAACCTTGCTTGAGAAGAATCACCCTGAGCTCAGTTTGCCTAACAGAATCATGAGAGATAATAATAAATTGTTTTAAGCCAGGGTAATGAGTCACATTGTCTAAGCCCTAGACAACTGGTTAAAGGGTGAGATGACCAGGCTCAGGGATCTAAGGAATGTTAAAGTTCAGGAGATGGCGAGAGGAAGATGAATTCACAAAGAGGACTGGATATATGTGTCCCAAGAGGCAGGAGAAATGCCAGAATAGTGTCATGGAAGCCAAAAGAAAATTTTAAGATGTAGGTCATGAACAAGAGTGTCAATGCCATGGAAAGGTCAGATTAGAGGAGAAGTAATGATGAAAAGTAGCCAGGATTCTGGATTGGTGACTTTTATCAGAGTAATCCTAGAAAAGTAGATATTGTGGGATGCAGGGTAAATGGGAAATGAATAAGTAGAGGCAGGTAGTGAGGATCACTAATATTTGCATATTGTATATTTAACATGCACAATCTTGGTTATTCAGGAATTACCCTGAAAATGCTTAATATTAGCAGTGTGTGATTGACCTAAGGCAAGGACTGCAATCATAAGCTACAAAGTTATTTGTAAGAAGAAGCTAATTGGTTCATGGGTAATAATAATAATAATAATAATAATAATAACCACTCCTTAATGAGTACCACTGGTTCTTTTTTCATCAATTATTTGATAACTACCAATATGTTCCTGGGAAAATCCACTTAAAAAACCATTAAGTATAAACTGGCAGAGTGAAAAACGTCTAGTGTGTATTTTTTTCTGCAAATTTGAAGATTCTTACTATGCATCTCTGACAGTTGCCCAGGTCTGCCGGAATTTTTTCCCCAGGGGTAGGCTGTGAACAAAAAGCATGTTTTCTAGAGGGGGGAATACCTTTTTGATAGTGTGTATTTGCTGTTACTGTGGAGTTTTTGGTTTTGAAATGGAAACAACCAACAAATCAGTAAATAGAGATAGGATGTAAAAAGCAGGGTAAAAGAAGAAGCTGGGCATGGTGGGCACATCTATAATCCCTGCTACTTGGGAGGCTGAGGCACGAGGATCACAAATTCAAGGCTAGTCTTGGCAACCCAGCAAGACCTTGTCTCAAAATAAAAAAATATAAATGGCTGTGGATGGAGCTTAATGATAGAATGTCCTTGGTTCAATCCCCAGTACTGTAAAATAAGAGAAAAGGAAGGAAAGATAAAACAAAAATTCCTTGAAAATAGGGAGGAATCAAGAACTTAAGAACATCTCAAGATGGGGAAGGAGGGAAAAAGTGCTGGGGAATGATATTGGTCAAATTATATTATTTTGTGAATTGTGTGCATGTACAAATATGTAACAACCAATCCCATAAGTATATTACAACTATAATGCACCAATAAAAAAATGTGGTAGTGGGGAGAACCTCCCAGGAGCATAAGCATGGATGATTGAATTGCTTAGTAATCCAGAAATTTTCTTACCTATGGAGATCTTCCCAACCTTTTTCAAGGTTATATCAAAGAGGCCAAACAATCTGGTTGAATGAAGCACTGGAGTGGGAGTTAAGAAACCCATGTTGTACTCTCCTAGCTCTCTCACTGACTAGCTATGTGGTCTTGGGCAAGTCAGTTCCTTTCTCTGACACTGTAATAAAGGTGTGGGACTAAGTTCAATTCACTGGGTGATATATATACTGTGCCTTGAAACTCTAATATTATAGCTGGGTTTGGTGGCACATGCCTGTAATTCCAACAATTTGGAAGGCTGAGACAGGAGGATCACAAGTTCAAGGAGGCATCCTCAGCAACTTAATGAGATCCTGTCTCAAGAAATAAAAAGGGTTGGGGATGTAGCCCAGTGGTAAAGCACCCATGAGTTCAATCCCTAGTAACAAAACCAAACCAAACCAAACAACCCTCTAGTATTACATAGTTCTGATTTGGGGCAGTAGATGACCAAGGAGAATGGCTCCCTTCAAGGAAAAAAGAGGAATGAATGACAGCTCAATACTCTATTTTTCATCTCAGGAAGAACAATTATTGCCAAAAGCCTGCCTTTACAGTCTGTGCCTTGTGAGGGCTTTAAGATTGATTAATTCCCTAGGTCCATTCTATTAAGAATACTCAACTGTTTCTTTGGAAAGAGTGCCTACCTTGATGACACTGTCCTTGCAGTCCACCACTCGTTCAAATGTTTGACTGAGGATTTCAATGTCTTTATGAAGTTCTTTAGTCTTGACTTCTCGAAGGACAGTTCTCCACTGTGTGTTAATCTTATTAAGGTTAAGAGCACTGTTTTGTTCCTCTTTGGCCAGCTTGTCCTGTGTGAAGGAATGATTAAACACCTCTAAAGGCTAAGGCCAAATGCCCTGACACAGTACGATGAACAAGATCACTGTAGTTTGTCACCTGACACCTTATCCACTGTGTTTTCTAAGGGATCATACTCAGGGGGTTCCTGTTTTTGTTTTCAGAGGGCCCAAAGTAAGTCAGGAACAGCCTGATGGCATCATAGGGAGAGCAAGAGTAAGTCAGGGGGAGGCATTCAAGCATCAGAGTAGGATGATTATAATGACCCATCTCCAGGGAGAATATCAGAATTCAAAATAGCTAAATTCGGATAGCCAGCACCATCTACTTAGTTCTGGGGCTCAGTTGAGACTACCAACTCTATTCCACCTGCCCTCCTTCAGGCTTCCAGAGTACTCCCCACCTCCCGAACAGTGTTGCCTTAAATCTAAGTATATTTGGATTTCAGGGTTTTCGGAGGAGGGGAGGAGGGAAAGAAAACGAGTTGCCGCGATGACAGGAGCCAGGGCCAGTGCAGGGGGTGGTAGGGGTTGGGCAGGACATAATGAAGAAGGCCATCACCTTCAAGAACTGGCTGAGGAGCCTCTCTTTCTTCTTGGCCATTTCCTCCTCTGCCAGCAACTTCTGCTGATACAGAAGCAGCTGCTCCTCTTCCGACAGAGGTGTCTTGGCCTTTTTCCCTCTCCTAAGCATGCTTGGGCCTAGGATTGGATCCAAGCAAGGAGCTGCGGCTGGCCTCGACCCACGTTAGGGTAGAAGGAAAACACTCCCTAGAAAGACACCTTCTGGAACTGCCCCTGGAACTAAGGTAGCCGGATCTTAGCTCTCAGTCTTCCGACAAGAGAACCCCAGCGGTGTGTGATCTCCGCCTCTCCAGGGGAAATAAATGCGTCTCGTTTCCTAGCAACGAAGATCTCGTTAAGACAGCCCAGTGAGAGGCTGGGAGAAGAGCCCTGTCTTGGAGCGCCCCCTACCAGCTGGAGGACTGCAGTCAGTTTTTGTGAGAGTTCCTTCACCCCTTCAAAAACCTCAGTCTCCACAGTGTGCTTTATATTTTTAAGTTTCTATTTATTTTTATTCCTCCACAGAGAACTTTTTGTTTGTTTAGAATGGCCATAATAAAGAAGATAGTAACAAGTGTTGGAGGGAATGAGGAGAAACAGTTTGGCAGTTTTTCAGAATCTAAGACATAAAGGTTAGGGTTTGGGATGTAGCTCATTAGTAGAGCAAACACAGGGCTTGGGTTTAAATCCCAGAAGAGCAAAAAATAAAATAAATAAATAAATAAAAATAAATTAAAAATGACCCAAAAAAGGCAAATGTTAAACAAAAACCCATGTAAATTTATGATGTGATCCAGCAATCTCACTCTTGGAACTTTTCCTAAGAGAAAAATGTATGCACACAAAGACTTGCACAGGGGTGTTCTCAACTATACCACTCACAAAGGACCAATTGAAAAAATTGGAAACAGCCTAACTGTCCATCAATATGTGAATGGGTAGACAAAATATGCTATGTCCATGTATTGGAACATTATTCAGAAATAAAAAGGAACAGAGGTGGATACATGGTATAATGTGGACAACTCTCAAAAACACCACATATTATATCATTTAGTTTATTTTAGTTTTATTTTTTTGAGACAGGGCCACCCCTTGTTGACCATGCTGGCTTCAAACTCACAGTCCTCCTGCCTCAGCCTCCTGAATAGCTGGGATTACAGGCATGTACCACTGCATTCCCCTGTATCATACCATTTATATGAAATGTCAGAAAAAGCTAGACTGTAAAGACAGAAAGTGGATTACTATTGAAATCCTAACCCCTAATAGGATGGTATTAGGAGGTGGGGACTTTGTGCTGTAATAAGATTTAGATAGTATCATGAAGGTAGGTTCCCATAATGGGAAGTGTCCTTAGAAGGAAAAGAGACTACAAACTGTCTCTCTTGGTCTTGTGAAGATACCAAGCTGGGTGTGGTGGTGCACAACTATAATCCCAGAAACGGGATTGAGGCAGGAGGATCAAAAGTTTCAGACAAGCCTGGGAAATTTAGCAAGACCCTATTTCAAGATAAAATTAAAAGGGCTAGAGATGTAGCTCAGTGGTAGAGTGCCTATAAGTCAATTCCCAGTACTGAGGTTAAAAAAAAAGACACTAGAAGACTGCCTTTTGCACACTGGGAAGAGAGCCCTCATCAGACAGCAGATTGTCAGGGCATTAATCTTGGATTTCTCAGCCGCCAAAACTGTGAGAAAGAAATGTTTGTTGTTTAAGTCACCCAGTGTATGATATTCTGTATGGTGGCTTGAACTAAAATAATCATCCATTGCCTGGGAGAGGGGAAGGGAAGATTAATAGTAAGTGTGCATAAGGGATCATATTAGGATGATGGAAAGGTTCTAAAACTTGAGTCAAGTTGAATGACTTGATAAATTTGGGTTAAAAAGTCATTGAACAGTATACTTGAAATGAGTAGATTTTATATCAGATATGCAAAATGTGCCTCAAAGTTGTTTTAAATGTGAAATATAATGCTCATATTAGGGTTCCCCAGATAAACCAATGTGTGTGTGTGTGTGTGTGTGTGTGTGTGTTTACAAGGATTTGATTCATGTGATTTTGGAGACTGAGACATTGGCAGTTGGCAAACTGGATACTCAGGAAAACTTCAATTTGAAAGTCACCAGCTCAAGATTCAGAAGAGCCTATGTCTCAGAAAAGACCAGTTCAAACAGACAGGAAGAGTTCACTCTCACTGAGCCTTTCTGGTATATAGGTCTTCAAGGACTGGATGAGGCCCATCCACATTATGAGGACTGTCTGTTTTACTACATCTATGGATTCAAATGTTAATCTCATCTAGAATCAACCTCACAAAGACACCCAGAATAGTATTTGAACAAATGTCCAGTACTCCATCACTCAATTAAGTTGACATAAAAAACAGCCCTTGTCACTTTGTCCCTATATGAATCTCCTTAAACCATACTTAATCTCCAAATAAGATAATAACAAGGTCATAATTGTACCTAACATGATACAGCTATCCTGCATATAATCAAAAACACCCTAACTCCTTCCACAGAAGGGGTTAAACTCCTTGAGTGATGTTTATTCTTCTTGCTATCCCATAGTTCAAATATTATGATGTAAAGTTAGTAATACTTAAATATTGGATATCAAGTTGATAATCTTATGTTACATGATAAGGGAATAAAAGAAGAAAAATCTAAAGATAATTGCCTGTTATATATACACACAAATATATTCATAACAAAACAAGACAAAAATACTCACAATGGTTCCAGTCCTCAGTTTTATAACTGGTCACATTGTGGTACCTGATATTTGGAACTACCTTTTCCCATTACCATTCTGTATTCCTTTTGTCTTCAGTAAGCATCTCAGCAGATCATGGTTCTTTACCTGGAGGGGTGACCCAAACCTTCTTTCCTGAAGCACTGGGCCATTAATAGTCCTGCCTGCATTGTTCATTTCCATTGACCTTAGTCACAGGGTTTGCTAAAAGATGACCTAAGGGATCTTCTGCATCCCAGACTACTCTTACTTTCCCTCAATTGTGTAGTAATATTCCAGTTTCTCCTTGGTAGTCAGGATCAATCATCCTTGACAACCCCATAATTCCCTTCTTAGTCTGTTGATTCCAAGTCAAGAGGAGTCCAAAGTGACTAGGCATCAATCTCAACTGAGAGTTCTGTGGAAACATTGTGTCTTCTGGTAGAATCATTCCTCTTCAGGGAGCTAAGATCTCTAGGCCAGCAAAACATGAGATCAGGGGAACAGGATATAAAACTTTTACTAATGGGTTACAATAGTGAGTGGTGCCACTCCCATGACTCCCAAGCTTATTCACAGCATTCATATAGCCTTTGTGGGTATCTTGCCTTAGTCCTGTAGGTTACAGTACCTAGTTGGCACTATAACAGAGTCTTCAAAAGGCCATTCTATTGTTTTATCAAATCGGCTGCTTCAGATTGGTGAGAAACGTAATAAGACCAGTTAATTTCAAAAGAATTAGCCCATTGCCATATTTCATTTGAAGGGAAGTGAATTCCTTGATCAAAAGCCATATAGTGTGAAATAGCATGACAGTGGACAAGATGTCCTGAAAGTCACGGATGATAGTTTTGGCAGAAGCATTGTGTTCAGGAAAGGCAAATCCGGATTTGCTCTTTCCCATGTTTATTTGCCATTTGGACATCCTCTTTTTGTGGTGTATCTATTCAAACTTCTTGACTATGTTTATATTAGGTTATATGTCTTTTATTGAATTGTAATAGTTCATTTTATTATCTGGATGAAAGTCCTCTATCAGTATGTGTTCCAAATCACTTCTTCCAGTCTCTGGTTTACCTTTTCATTTTTTAAAAAAAATTTTAATAAAAAATGTTAATTCACATACCATAATATTTAACCTCTTCTTTTTCATATATATATACATGTGTGTGTGTGTGTGTATGTTTTTTTGTGTGTATATATATATATATATATATATATATATATATTTTTTTTTTTTTTTTTTGAGATACTGGGAATTGAACTCAGGGTTTCATGATTGCCAAGCAAGTGTGTAACCATTGAGCTACACCTCAGTTCCCTCTTTTTTATACTGATAAGAAATCTTTTCCTATCCTAAGGTCATGAGGGTAGGTTCCTACCTTATTTTCTAGAGACTTTATTGTTCTGCCTTTTACATTTGTATCTATAATTCACCTGGAGTATGGGAGACCAACCTCGCATGTGACTGAATTAAGTCCCCTGCTGGGCGATGTGGCGTCAGGCACCCATGCTGCTAGACTGCCCCACTCTTCTAGGGTTCCAGTGACTGTGCCTTCCTACAGCCCCATGGGTGGAGCTATGCTCACCTGTTCCTTTGTAATATTACCCCTTGCCCTGTTTAGAATAGAATGTTCCATGGAAGTGCCTTGTGTGTGTCCCCTTCTCTTACTGTGCCCTTGGGTGTGGCCTACCTAGATGTCAGTCAACCTGCTGACAGTGGACATCATGAAGACAGACTCAGCCCCCTGAAACCTGACTCCTTGCCTCATTTGAATAGCTTCTCCTCAATAAAAGGGGTCAGCATGTGCTCTTGCTCTCTCTCTTCCTGTGGACCTTTAAGGTCAGAGGAGCCATCACAGTGACCCCAAACAAAAAGGTATTTGTGTCTCTTGTGTGGTTATTTTTTGCAGCCCAGTTAGCCCAGTTTACCTTGAGTGACCCCTGAGACTTTTGGTCATGAACAGAAACCGGGGCACTGGAGTTTATGTTTGATGTTGTGATTTTATATATTCCTTTGGGGTATTTCCTCACTGCTTTGCATTGTTTTCCTTTGTCATAAATCAAGTGTCCAGTAGCCGGGCATAGTGGTGCATGCCTATTATCCCAGAGGCTTGGGAGGCTGAAGCAGGAGGATAGTGAGTTCAAAACCAGCCTCAGCAATTTAGTGAGACCCTCTCTCTAAATTAAAAATAAATAAATAAAAAGGGCTAGGGATGTGGCTCAGGGGTTAAGTGCCCCTGGGTTCAATCCCTGTACCAAAAAATAAATAAATAAAATATCCATATATGCGTGGGTTTGTGTTTGGGTTCTTTATTCTATTCCATTGACCTTGCTTATTTTTGTACCAATATAACACTGTCTTAATTATCATATATTTATTATAAGTATTAATATATACTAGACCAAGAACTTAACATTTGTTCTTCTTGGAGAGCATCTTAGTGATTCTTTTTTTTTTAATAGTTGTATATGGACAGAATGTCTTTATTTTATTTGTTTATTCATATATGGTGCTAAGGATCGAACCCATTGTCTCATGCATGCTAGGCAAGCGCTCTGCCACTGAGCTACAGCCCAGCCTGCATCTTAGT